TTTATTAGAATTTTTTTTTTTCCCCCAGATCAAACAATCCTACTTGTGCATTTGGAAATGCAACATGCGCTTATAATCTGGCTGTTGTCAAAAGAGAAGCATCCCTGCGGTTTTCCACCTAAATTGAAATTCAGTGATTTAACAACATGTAATGAAGACATTAAGACAGCTATAAATACTAGTACTTTTTAGAATTCCCAAATCATACAATCCTACTTGCCATGTCCCAAATTGCTTGCTCGTTCACTACAAAGTGAGTGACACTAAGTTAGCTAATTCAAATGCTAATGTAAATGCCTGTTGTACACTATAAAGTGCATTATGGGTACAAAAGAGTGGGGAATGCAATTCAAACTACACAGCAGCATGGTTGACACACCACATAGTGCACTATATAGGGAGCGATGTCAGAATGAAGTTGTGAAAGTGTCCGTTATGAACTCTTTCCTGTCTCAGAGTCTTAAGAAGGTGGGAGTGATGTGGAGAGACGCGGCGCTGAGCTGGAAAGACTTCCTCCCCGAAGACGAGGACGTCAATAAATTTGTCACTGAAGAGGTTGGCGATGAATTCAGTCAAAACCGCAGCAGATTGATTGATGATTGTTACTTATATAATGTGTTGTGTGTGTGTGTGTGTGTGTGTGTGTGTGTGCGCGCACAGGGAGTGGAGTTCACTCTGGGTGAGGAGTGTGTGAGGAAGAGCAGTAAAGGGACTCTGAGTCCAGAAGACATTTCTAGAGAGATGGAGCGACTCCTGCAGGAGAAAGCAGACAACCAGAGGATCTTTGACTGGGTGGAGGTACGAATGCATGTGTGTGTGTGTGTGTGTGTAAGAGTGTGTGTGTGTGTGTGTGTGTGTGTAAGAGTCTCTGTGTGTGTGTGTGTGTGTGTGTGTGTAAGAGTCTCTGTGTGTGTGTGTGTGTGTGTGTGTGTAAGAGTCTCTGTGTGTGTGTGTGTGTGTGTGTGTGTAAGAGTCTCTGTGTGTGTGTGTGTGTGTGTGTGTGTAAGAGTCTCTGTGTGTGTGTGTGTGTGTGTGTGTGTAAGAGTCTCTGTGTGTGTGTGTGTGTGTGTGTGTGTAAGAGTCTCTGTGTGTGTGTGTGTGTGTGTGTGTGTAAGAGTCTCTGTGTGTGTGTGTGTGTGTGTGTGTGTAAGAGTCTCTGTGTGTGTGTGTGTGTGTGTGTGTGTAAGAGTCTCTGTGTGTGTGTGTGTGTGTGTGTGTGTAAGAGTCTCTGTGTGTGTGTGTGTGTGTGTGTGTGTAAGAGTCTCTGTGTGTGTGTGTGTGTGTGTGTGTGTAAGAGTCTCTGTGTGTGTGTGTGTGTGTGTGTGTGTAAGAGTCTCTGTGTGTGTGTGTGTGTGTGTGTGTGTAAGAGTCTCTGTGTGTGTGTGTGTGTGTGTGTGTGTAAGAGTCTCTGTGTGTGTGTGTGTGTGTGTGTGTGTAAGAGTCTCTGTGTGTGTGTGTGTGTGTGTGTGTGTAAGAGTCTCTGTGTGTGTGTGTGTGTGTGTGTGTGTAAGAGTCTCTGTGTGTGTGTGTGTGTGTGTGTGTGTAAGAGTCTCTGTGTGTGTGTGTGTGTGTGTGTGTGTAAGAGTCTCTGTGTGTGTGTGTGTGTGTGTGTGTGTAAGAGTCTCTGTGTGTGTGTGTGTGTGTGTGTGTGTAAGAGTCTCTGTGTGTGTGTGTGTGTGTGTGTGTGTAAGAGTCTCTGTGTGTGTGTGTGTGTGTGTGTGTGTAAGAGTCTCTGTGTGTGTGTGTGTGTGTGTGTGTGTAAGAGTCTCTGTGTGTGTGTGTGTGTGTGTGTGTGTAAGAGTCTCTGTGTGTGTGTGTGTGTGTGTGTGTGTAAGAGTCTCTGTGTGTGTGTGTGTGTGTGTGTGTGTAAGAGTCTCTGTGTGTGTGTGTGTGTGTGTGTGTGTAAGAGTCTCTGTGTGTGTGTGTGTGTGTGTGTGTGTAAGAGTCTCTGTGTGTGTGTGTGTGTGTGTGTGTGTAAGAGTCTCTGTGTGTGTGTGTGTGTGTGTGTGTGTAAGAGTCTCTGTGTGTGTGTGTGTGTGTGTGTGTGTAAGAGTCTCTGTGTGTGTGTGTGTGTGTGTGTGTGTAAGAGTCTCTGTGTGTGTGTGTGTGTGTGTGTGTGTAAGAGTCTCTGTGTGTGTGTGTGTGTGTGTGTGTGTAAGAGTCTCTGTGTGTGTGTGTGTGTGTGTGTGTGTAAGAGTCTCTGTGTGTGTGTGTGTGTGTGTGTGTGTAAGAGTCTCTGTGTGTGTGTGTGTGTGTGTGTGTGTAAGAGTCTCTGTGTGTGTGTGTGTGTGTGTGTGTGTGCGCGTGCCAGAGTTGTAAAGTATTTGAGTAAATGTAACTAATTACTGTACTTGAGTATCCTTTCGGATACGTTTTATTTTTACTGAGTATCAAAGATATTAGCAACCTTTACTCTCTACTTCACTACATTTTTGAATGAGTATCTGTTAGGGGTGGGGGGAAAATGTGATTCTTAGATGCATCGCGATGCAGACGTGGAGGATTCTGAATCGATTCACAAATGTCAAAAATCAATTTTCTATTTCTTAAATCAGACCGGCACCGTCTGCGTTAAAAGCTATCGTATGGAAGCACTTTGGCTTCTATGAAGTTGAAGGGGGAGCCACACTATATGCAAGTTGTCAAGCCAGACTAAAATATTTTGGAAACACAACAAATATGAGAAACCATATTACAGAATATGCTTAAGTCTGTGTTAATTTACTACAAGTATGCTGCTACAGGCACATGTTTCATTTCCTGTTGGTTCTTTGTAACCTTCTTGTTGACTTGCCAAATCACTGATATTTGTTTTATTAATAAAAGATCTTGGAAGTAAATTAATTATGGGTCATTCCAGATACTTAGCTTCAATAGTCAGACAGTGAGAAAAAAGCAAATCTGTATTAAAACAAAAGATGCATCGTTAATCGTTTTATCATCGCATCGCATCCCTCTGAATCGTAATCGTCTGTATACACCCCTAGTGTTTCTTTAGTTCTTTGTGAGTTGTTGAATGTAATGGTTGTCTGTTTGTTCTGGTTTTTCCATTAAATACCTGCACATAGATCCTGTTTTCTCCAGCTTCTCCACAACGTTACAGTTTTTCACTGCCATGTCTCTTTGACTAGTGCATCTTTGAGCCTCTAAGTAAAATACTTATGTACTGTTCAAATCAGACACTTTAAGACTTTTACTCAAGCTGTTTTGGAGTTGGTTACTTGTAACATGTCATGGAGTAATTTTCACTGCAAGCTATCTGTACTTTTACTCAAGTGTGGTTTTCAGGTATCTTTACACCTCTGGTGTGTGCCTTAAAGGGGTCATGAAATGCATTTTTAAATTATTTTATAATGTTTCCTGAAGTGCACTTATAATCTTAGTGTTTTAAATGTAAATGCTCGTTTTCTTCCCTGATTTTAGCCTCCTTGTCAGAAGGGGCGTGTCCGCTGTGAGACCACACCCACTGCTGTGATTGGCTAACTTATTTGCATATGAAATGAGCATTAATTGTGGACCTCTCTTAGATGATCACTATGATCTCCTTATTGCAATGCCATTTCTGCAATCTCACCAATGCTTTCGTCAGAGTTCTGGTGATGGGAAAAAAATATGAGCTGGATGGAAAAGGAACACAGTAGTTTTGCAAGCAAACACAAAGTTTCTTTTGGGAAATGCAAAAGTTTTAATGCTTTTGTGTTCACGGCGCAGATGAGTTTATCGGGGGAACAGATGTTTTGCAAGCCAACACAGAAGCATTGAAATATATTTTTTATCCATCATCATGTCCCCTTAGGAGCTGTACTTTACAGCTACAAATATGAATGACACAATTTAGTTCGAGATGTATTCTAGCTGTTGTAGCGGTGTTTCACCTCAGTGACCTTTGACCTCTCTCTCTCTGCAGGCCAGTCTAGACGAGCAGCAAACATCATCGAGCACGTTTGTCCGAGCGCTGATGACCACCGTCTGTCAGTGTGCCATCATCTGTGAGTCCTTTAATACAACAGGATTTGATTGTGTGTTAACTGAAATAAAAAATATGTATAATTTTATTTCAGCTAGCTGCCAATGCAACATTTCTTGTTTTTATTTAGTTTAACTTGATGTACTAAAATAATTAATTTACTAGGGCCCGAGCACCGATCATCATCTTTTCCAAAGTGAATCGCATTTTTGAGGGCCTAAACATGCTCAAAAGTTTGCACACGCGTCAGAACTGGCAAAAATGTACATCTGATATGGGTTTCAGAAGTGGGTGTGGCAAAATGGCTCGATAGCGCCACTGTAAAATTTCAACGGAGTGCGCCTCGAGCTACGTTTCACGTACATGTACGAAACTCGGTAGACACATGTAACACACCATCACCTACAAAAAAGTCTCTTGGTACAAAATCCGAAACTCAACAGGAAGTCCGTTATTTTGAATTTCCTGTAGTTTTTAATTCGATTTTTGTGTATTTTTTTTTGCCGTTTCCAGGCCTCGTACTTTGACGAACTCCTCCTACAGTTTTAATCGGATCATCTTCAAATTTGGTGAGGATTATCTTAAGGCCTTTGCGATGCTAAATTGCGAAGATCTTGAGTTTTCGTCAAGGGGCGTGTCCCTGGCGGCTTGACAAAGTTTGATGTTACGCCATGAAACAGGAAGTTGTTGTAACTCATGCATACAATGCCCAATCGGCCCCAAACTTCACATGTACACATCTAAAGGCCAATATTCAATTATAATTATAGCGCCACCTGCTGGCAACAGGAAATGACTTGTTTTACACTAACTTAAACATGCAATGTCCGATCTGCCCCTAACTTCATATGTTTGGTAAGAGTCCTGGCCTGAAAACATTTACATGCCAATGTTCCGTTATAATCATAGCGCCACCAGCTGGCAGCAGGAAGTTTGGCACATATAAAGGACTTGGACATATTCCTCCTATATTTATCACTTTAAATGCATATTGCCCACCGTTCGCTGTTTTCCTAAAGCCACCGGGTGCGAGGGCCCTTTTATCGCTGCTTGCAGCTTTAATTTTATATTAAACTTATTGATTTAAAACAAAAAAAACATAAAAATAAAAACACAACAAATAAAAATGACAAACACACACAACAAAATTACTAAAATTTTACCTAAAATAAAAATAAAATTGTAATATAACGATAAAAACTGTTGGGGAAAAAAAGTCAATAATTAATGTTAATAGTTATTTATGATTAATGTTTATGAATATTATTATAAATAATTATTGTAAATGAAATTAATAATAATAATAAAATAACTGGGTTTTTTGAGGCAACTGTAGGGAGTTTGTAAATTGTTGAGAAATCAATAATTAATGTAATATTCATATACATTAAATATATATAAATATTATAATTAATAATTAATTGTAAATGTAATAAATATTAATAAAATAATGGGTTCTTGGGGGAACTGCAGGGAGGTTGTAAGTTGTTGAAAAGTTAATAATTAATGTAATAATTATAGGTAAAGTATATAGTTAAAGTGCCAAATGAATAAATGTATATGTAAATTAAATTGTAAATTAAATAAATAATTTTAAAATAATTGGATTCTTTAGTGATCTGCAGGGGGTTTGTAAGTTGTTGGAAAGGAAATAATTAATGTAATTATTTGTAATAATTAATAAAACTAAATTTAAAAAGCAAAATACTTTTATAAATAAAATAAAAATAAAACCCTTAATAAAAAAAGATTAAATATTTGTTTAGCTGCATGTTAAGTGACCACTGATATTAGAGAACCATGAACGTGTAAATGTGTTAAATCATTCAAATGTTGAGTTAAAATTTCAGGCAGACTGCAAGGAAATATTTTAGGTCAGAAGCGATTCGACTGACAAAAATGTTTCTGAATCCCTGCATCAGCAGAACAGAGATGTTTTAGTGTTATTTTTCTTTATAATAATGTCAAAAAGTAAAAGTCACGTTGGCTTTAATGTTGTTTTCATCCTGTCGTTATCAAGGTGAGAATCCATATAAAGTAGACACTAAAGAAATTACCCAGAGGGCCAAGCTGCTGCAGCGCTACATTAAAGACGAGCAGAAGGAGCTGCAGGCGCTCTACGCCTTACAGAGTCTGATGGTGCAGATGGAGCAGCCGCCGAGTGAGTGTGTGTGTGTGAGAGAGAGAGAGAGAGAGAGAGAGAGAGACTGTGTGTGTGTGTGTGTGTGTGTGTGTGTATAATTGTTGATATTTTTTTACTAGTGGGTGCAGGACACTATAGTTCATTTATGTAAGTGAGGATAGCAAAATAAAGTAAACTGTGACAAATCATACCCAAAAATTCTTCATACAGTGGACTACTAGTAAAACTGATATAAAAAAAGTTATCTGACATTATCAAGATGAATTTGTTCTGACACAGTTTAACTCTGTTCTTGTCATAATTTATCATTTTCTAAACTATAGCCAATAAACTGTGATAGTGTGAGAAATGTTAAAGGTGTCTGAATAAATCTTGGTTTGACTGTATGTGAGCATCTCCTCGTTCAATACTAACATCGGCCCGTTTCTCTCTGCAGATCTGCTGCGCATGTTCTTCGATGTCTTATACGATGAGGACGTCATCAAAGAGGAGGGCTTTTACCGGTGGGAGTCCAGCAAAGACCCCACCGAGCAGCAAGGCAAGGGCGTGGCCCTCAAATCCGTCACCGCCTTCTTCACCTGGCTGCGCGAGGCCGAGGACGAATCAGACAACAGCTAGAGCTTAGGCCACGCCCACTACCGAGATGATTGACATGGAGGGCAAAAAAAATATTTTGAAGAAAGAAAAAAAAAAAAAAAAAGAGACAGAGAGAATGAAACATTTGGAAGATTTTCAACACCTTTTTACTTTCTGTTTTGTCTTTCCATTTGCGCAAAAAAAAAAAAAAAAAAAAAAAAATTGTTTACCTGAAACAAAATAAAGTATTAGAGGATGACAAGCCTTATCTGCTCAGAATTTTAGCTGTTAGCATTGCTACTTCCTGTTTCCTGCTCCCGCCGCCAATGGAGACTGACGTTGATGACATCACTTGTTTATGATGTCACTTCCTGGTGACAGAACGCTGCTCAGAGTTCTATTTTTCGTTCCGAAACCCTATATATATATTCGTGGGCGCTGATGTGGTTTTGAGCGGAGCGGCTGATTGTGTTGCTGTAATGAGGAGGATTGGATTGTTTTTTTTTTTTTGTGTCGTTTTCTTTGATTTGGGATTTCGTTTAGTTCTAGTGGAGTGTTCCAAGCTCTTTTTTTCTATGTTTTTTATGACGGATATCGAATTAAAAATGCAACTCGGCCCTTTCGGAGCTGTGGTTTTCAGTGTTTGTTTGTGGCTCTGGGCGACGAACTTGCTAGAGACGTTCAACTTTGACCTTTTTGCTGCTGCTGAGACGCTTCTGCCGACATATGGTTCACATCACACTTCACGAAGAAAATAAACGTTTGAGAAATAAGCAGACTTGAGGGAGACGAGGAGCGCTTGTGGACGTGCTCTTTCGCACCTGTTGTGGACTTTACGAAACAAATCATTATTACGACTTGAAAAAATATATATATAGAAATAAGTGTTTAAAAAAAAAAATACAAAAAAGCTGGAGAATGAGAGAGTACGAATACTACATGCCTTTCAGCTCCCTGGAGAGCGACCTGTAAATACATGTTTTGTTTTGTTTTGTTTTCCAATAATAAAAATGCTAACTTTAATGCCATGTATTAATTTTTGGGCTTTTGTTTTGTCTGTATTTAATTTTTTTTCTTTTTGTGGTTTAATCACCCGGCTTGTATGATTATCCTCCTCTAGTTAATGATTATAGTTTAATGAGATTATGTAAATATTTCTCTTTTTTTGCTTTAAGTATTTAATTAAGAGAAATTAATGCCTCTTTTCACATTTGAAACTGGAAGAGATAATAAAGAGCATTGCAATGAAAAAATGACAAAAACGTGTTGTTACTTTGCGGTTTTCGCGCTGAGATTTCGTTCCTTATTTCAGCGCAAATTTATCGACAAGATTTATCATGAGCTGAATATGTTTGAAAAAACTCTACAGACTGTTCCATTATAGTCGAGAATTTACTTGATTCATTTCGTCAGTTATTATTTCATCCACCTTATTTTTAACGTACAGAGCGGCGCCGCCATTTGTACATTTCATTTTGTTTTCTTGCTTTAAGAAACCGGTCTGTTAAGCTCAGTTTCTGTCTGTAAGTGACAGATTTGCAACATTCAGATGAGAATTTAGGTGTGTGTGTGAGTGTGTGTGAGAGAGAGAGTGTGTGAGTGTGTGTGAGTGAGTTGTGTGTGTGTGAGAGTGAGAGTGTGTGTGTGAGAGTGAGAGTGTGTGTGTGAGTGTGAGTGTGAGGGTGTGTGGG